GCCCCACCAGCTGCCCCACCAGCTGCCCCACCAGCTGCCCCACCAGCTGCCCCACCAGCTGCCCCAGCAGCTTCCAAAACTAGGAAGCAACTAGACCGTCCACAGACCGAGGAAGAACTAGCATTTTATGCTCGGAATCACTTATTCATGACGGTCTGTGCAGTGATTCTTTTCCCACCCTTGGGATTGGCAGCCCTCTACTTCAGCCGCCAGGTAAAACTATTCCCCAGACACTCCTCATCCTGTCCTCTGCTGATCTCAGGTCGGGCTCTCCCCGCAGTGAGCTTCTAGCCTGAGAAACCCATACCCATGCTCCCACCCTTACAGACCGACGAGGCCAATAAGTGCAGCGACTGGGATGATGCGTATCTCAACTCAACTCGAACTATATGGATGGATGTATTCGCCATTCTCGTGGGTTTAATCCTCATCTACACATATGTCCTACTTATATGATGGCTAGACCAGCATCCACGGGCTGCACTCCCCGACAGACACGCCCACTTAGACACAGACCAGCCACCAAGAAAAATCTCAGAGCTTCAGACATCCCTTAGCCAGGAAACCCACGAACCAAAAAAGTTCAACACCCAAGCAACCCGCCAGCCCAAGAAGCCCCGGGGCCACCTACCAGCATACCAACTCACTGTCATTTGGCCTCCACAGCTGTCTCCATCCATCTTGAAGGCCCACACTCAAGTCCTAAATCCGTGTAAGCCTGAAAAGAAAAAAAAATCATATTTCTTAGCCCAATAAAACTAAAGGGAATATTCTGGCTTAGCATGTGTTTCTAGATTTTTTTTTCTGGTCAATAGTGGTTTGGGGCTGTGTTTGCTTAGGTCCTGTGAAAATCAGAGTGCAATAATGGTGCCAGACACTGGGGCACACAGCTATAATCCCAGAATTCAGAAAAAGAGACAGGAGGATTAGAAGTTCAAGGCCAGCCAGGGCTACACAGTAAGTTAAAGACCAGCTCTAGCATACATGAGGCCCTGACTCAGACTAACAAAAACCCAAACAATAAACAATGTCATAATGGTGAAACCCACAACCATGAAAATGGGGACTCTGTGGATTTTCACCCACTCACCACCAAGATACTGATAAATCTGCATGCCCAGAGGGCTGGGGAGATGGCTGGAGTGTTTAAAAGCATCCGTTGTACAGTTCTGATGAACAGGGTTCAATCTGGATGCAGTGGGTCATATTGGTAATCCCACACTCCCGTGCTGAGATGGGAGGCAGAGGCAGGCTGGAAGCTTGTGGACTAGCCTGGAGTACATTGCCTGCTGGTAAAAACAAGAACGATCGATGTTGCCTCACAAGGTGAAAGGTGAGAATCGAATCTCAAAAGTTGCCCTCTGAGCTCCATACGTACACACACACAGACACACACATGCATGCATGTGCACACACATAGACACATTTTAAAATTGATTTTTTTTGTTGGTTTTTGTTTTGTTTTGGTTCTGGTTTTTTGAGACAGGGTTTCTCTGTAGGTTTGGAGTCTATCCTGGAACTAGCTCTTGTAGACCAGGCTGGCTTTGAACTCACAGAGATCTGTCTGCCTCTGCCCCCCGAATGCTGGGTTTAAAGGCATGTGCCCCCACCACCCAGCTAATATCTTTGATTTCTTGGAGCTGCTTTTCTTGCAAAGCATACATACTAATTACTAAGGTGGGAGAAATCTGAATGAATGTCTGATTTCTCATGACTTCCCTTTCTCAGAGCAGGAAAAGAATGCAGAAATCGTGCCAGGCGGTATGTCACACGTCTTTAACCCCAGCACTCAGGAGGCAGAAGCAGGTGGATCTCTGTGAGTCTGAGGCCAGCTGGGACTACATAGTGAGTTCTGGGATAGCCAGAGCTGCATAGTGAGACCATGTCTCAAAAACAAGAAGAAGAGAAGGAGGAGGAGGAGGAGGAGGAGGAGGAGGAGGAGGAGGAGGAGGAGGAAAAGGAAGAGGAGGAGGAGGAATTCTGTAATCCCAGAATTCAGAAGGCAGAAGCTGAAGAAGAGAGATTTCAAGGCCAGCCTGGGCTTTATAAATGAGACCTTGTCTCAAAAAGAAGATACACACACACACACACACACACACACAAAATCAAGAAAACAGGAAGTTCTTTCTTCTAAGAGACAAAGGGCAATGCAATATTTTAAAGAATAACAATGGGTTTCATAGGGCTAGGAAATGTAGCTGCCCTAGCAAGCATGAAGTCTTGGGTTCAAGCCCCAGTACTGCATAAACTGAGGGTGGTTGTGCATACTTGTAATCCTTACTCAGCAAGATCAGTTTGAAGTCAGCCTAGGTTATCTAAGTCTGAGACCCTGTCTCAACACACACATGCACACCACACACACACACCATAGATAGATATATAGATATTAAGAGAGAGAGGGGGGGGGGATAATGTTTAAGAGCACTTCCTGCTTTTGCAGAGTACCAGAGTTCAGTTCCTAGGACCCATGTGTCAGGTGGCTCATAACTGCCTATAACTCCAACTGCAGGTCTAATGGCCTCTTCTGGCATCCACCAATACCATACACAATTGGCATATACACAGATACACATTCATACACATAAATTTAAAAATAAAAATAAATATAAGTCTTGAGCTGGGCACTCTGGGGATGTTTTTAATCCCAGCACTCAGGAGGCAGGTGCATATGGATCTCTGAGTTCAAGGCCAGCCTGGTCTACTGAGGGAGTTCCAGGACAGCCAGGGCTACACAGAGAAACCTTGATGATGGGAGGAAGCTCTAATGTAGGTCGTACAACTTGAGTCAGCTAAGGAGCCCCAACAAGAAAACAGAGCGGCTGCAATTTGACCAGTAGGTGAGCAACAGTGCCACCTGTTGGTAGTAAGCAGTTATTTCCTCCTTTTTACCTCATGTGTTGGGATGTGTGTCTTTGTGCCTAATACATAAATATGTGCCCGCCTGAAAGTGTTTGGAGGTAAGAGGTCAACATGAGGTCAACATAAGGCCAACACCTGCCTCTATCACTCTCCATCGCCTTAGATTTTTCGTTTGTTTGTTTTTGTTTTTGTTTTTCGTGACAGGGTTTCTCTGTAGCTTTTGGAGCCTGTCCTGGAACTAGTTCTTGTAGACCAGGCTGGTCTCGAACTCACAGAGATCCACCTGCCTCTGACTCCCAAGTCCTGGGATTAAAGGCGTGCGCCACCACCACCCGGCCACCTTAGCTTTTTTTTTTTTTTTAATATTGATGTATTTATTATGTATACAATATTCTGTCAGTGTGTATGCCTGCAGGCCAGAAGAGGGCACCAGATCTCATTACAGATGGTTGTGAGCCACCATGTGGTTGCTGGGAATTGAACTCAGGACCTTTGGAAGAGCAGGCAATGCTCTTAACCTATGAGCCATCTCTCCAGCCCCCACCTTAGCTTTTTAAGACAAGGTCTCTCACTAGACTCGCCATTTGGACTAGACTAGCCTAGTGAACTCCCAGGATCCACTCACAGTCCCCTAGTGCTGGGATTACAGACAGACCACAACCCTGGTTTTCTACATGGGTTTGGGGATCCAAATTTACACTTGTGCAGCCAGAGGATTCAAGGCTAGCCTTAGCTACAAAGTAAGTAGAAACACAGTCTGGGCTACCGAGAAAAAAGAGGGGCAATTAGGGAGATGACTTAGCAAAATATTTGGAGTTGAAGTGTGAATGAAAAATAAGGCACAAATGACCCTGTCAGGTCCCACTGCGGGTGAGAGACCTTCGCAGGTAAGGAACAGACAAACATGCCATGCAGAGTATGCCAGCTTGGGAGTATGAAATTTTATTTAGGAAGAGGGTTTGGGGAAGGTTTGGGAGGGTAGGAGGGACAACAGGAGAGATACAGAGACAGACAGAGAGAAAGAAGGAGAGAGACAGAGAGAAGGGAGAGAAGAGGAGCAGGAGAGGCAGAAAGCTGCCTCTTCAGAAGGGGGTGTGTGAGAGCAGAGACCAGCTTGCCTCATGAAAAGGGAGAGATTGAGAGTGGGTGGAGTTTGTATCTTAAAGGGACAGGGTACTGACAGGGAAGGCCAGCATAATCATAACATTCCCATCGTTCTCTTATCATAGAAAGGCGAGAAGTTAAGTGTGACATCTTAAAGGGATGAGGGCATCGAGTTCTCAAGACCGCTTTCTGCTGATTTGTGGGTATCAAAATCTTGGGGTCCTGAGAAAGCTGGGATCCTGACCACGTCCTGGGATAGCTGGTTGCTTCACTACTGTGCAGGATTTGTGGACCTGGTGAGGTGGGGGCAGAGCAGAGGACAAGGTTATGTTTAGGGCTAGAGCTCCACTGGGTGTCCTGATGTTCCCTAAAAGCTGCCGGTTTTTCAGAATCCTGCCCGAGACTGACTTTCCCTCTGCTCTGGACCTCACACCTACAGCACATCAGATCTGTCCTAGACACTGGGGCTCTCCAGAACTCACACTTCCCAATGTTGTTTTGCATTCAATATGGTGACTGCACCTTAAGCAATTGCTGTCCAAACTGGCAATTGCAACTCTGCAACTGCAAGTTCAACTGCAGGGGCAACAACCAGGCAGGAATTCTGCCGGCTCCATGCGGCTGCTAAAGGATACTTTATCTAAATCTCTACCCTTCTGTAGAACTCAGGATTCAAAAGTTGAGATGAAATCCTGCTAGCTCAGAGAGTCTAAATAGCAAGTAGCTCACCTCTCCTTGCTCAAGCCTCCCAAAAAAGGGGTGTCCTGCTCAGTCCCTACTAAAGAGCCCTTACAACCCCTAGTTTCTCCCTATCACTTCCTGTCAGTTAGCTGCTGAACATCCTGACTCCAGGCTAATTTTATTTAACGGAACAAATGTAACATGTCTTTGCATCATTAACAAAAGCAGCAGAAACAAATGTAACACCTTTACACACTTAAAATAACACTCCGCAACATTCCCAAGGCATCCTGCAGACCTCTTTATCCCAAAATGACCCAACCCTACTGCTTATGTTTTTTAACATCCCCACCCCATGAAACACTTCCTCCCGCCCCAACACACACACTGAATTGTGAGCTCTCCACAATGAGGACTGTGCCCCCCGCGGGGGGGCCCCCCCCCCCCGCCACCAGCATCATGGGGCACAGTCAGGTTGGTAAAAGCCAAAGAGTAAAATCTGAGCAAGTGAAATCAAGATGGACTAACTGGTAAAGGACCTTGTTTGCTATGTAAGCCTGAAAAGAGTCAATCCCTGGAACCCATGGAAATGTGGATGGCAAAAGCTACTTCTACACTGTCATCCTCTGACCAGCCCAGGACACATATACTCATTAATAATAAATTTAAAGAATTTTAAAATGAAAAAGCAATGCCCAGAAGACTACATACCGAGAAGATATATGTGCCAAGCTTTCTGTCTTTTATTCTCCATTCAAACACAAGACTCACAGATTCAACGCAATGCCCATCAAAATCCCAGCAAAATTCCTCAAAGACCTCGAAAGAACAGTACTCAACTTCATATGGAAAAGCAAAAAACAATAGCCAAAACAATCCTGTACAATAAAAGAACTTCTGGAGGCATCACAATCCCTGACTTCAAACTCTACTACACAGCTACAGTACTGAAAACAGCCTGGTATTGGCATAAGAACAGACAGGAGGGCCAGTGGAACCAAATAGAAGACCCGGATACCAATCCACACATCTTTGAACACCTGATCTTTAATAAAGAAGCAAAAAATAACAAATGGAAAAAAGAAAGCATATTTAACAAATAGTGCTGGCATAACCGGATATCAACATGTAGAAGA